TTCACATAATAACAAACAAAATGTGTGTGAATTTATAGTTGAAACAGTTAGTCAAAATCAACTGACATAACCATACATTTAAAATGTTAAAAAAACAAAAAAATTTCAACCAAACTTTTAATTAAAATATACCACCATAATTGGTGATCCAATTAGGCGGAGAGTTACATACAGATAAAAATTTAACAGTTCTAGATTTTAAATGTTAAAATTAAAAGAATCTTTTTAAAATCTATATATTTCATGAAATATGAAAGATTTTGTTTATTAAAAGGTTTTTAGCTCAAAGAAAAATAAAATCTTACATTTAATCCAACTTCATTTTTTTAACCAAACATTTAACTTAAAAATGATCTTAACTCTCTTTTTTCAACCTCTTAGGAAATAATAACGTTTAAAAAATATAATCATAAAATCTCAAATAATTCTCTACGATGAACAAAAATCAAAATATATATAAACTCACGAGACAAAGATAAATGACAAAAAAAAAATTGATAAGTAATCATACTACAAAGACTGATTAGAAAATGATTGATAAATTTTATCTTAAAAATCGTAATAGTTATTTAGATAATATGATTTATCTAATGATCATATATATAAATGTGTACAAAGTTTAAGCAAATATATTTTAAATGGTAATTATCGATATCAAAGTGATTGATAATCACTTCATGCTTTCAAGCAGTATTAATACTAAATCAGAAAATTAATTTATTTTATTTTGTATCTACAAACATTGGTTGTTTGTCATACATAAATCTAGTATTCTTTAATTAACCTAATTTTTCCCTAATTATTTTTCAAATTAAACGGACAGCATCCTAAAAAAAGAAATCAAAGCAGAGAAGAAAAATTGAAGTCTGGATTTAAGAGTTGAACAAAAAATAATTTTAATATATAATATAAATCAAAACAAATACATATTTTACATTTTCAAAGTGAAAAATTAAAAATAAAATTATTAATAAACTATTTGCGTGTACATGGCAGAATCATCTAGTTTAGATTAAAATTGCATTCCTTTCAATTTTAATTGGCCCTTGCGACGGGTAAAAAACTCGATCAAGACATAAGGAAAAGCAAACCGTCTTAGAAACTCCGAAATCCCTTCACTTCGACTCTCACGACCTGGAAGAGAATACTTCACCATCGGGATCGAGCGAAACACGAACTCAAACTCTAGGGTTTGACGAACCAGAGGGATAAGCGAAAATAGACATGAGAAATTTGATTTCAGTGACAAATTATAATATCGATGAGATTTATTTTAGTTTCTCTGCAGTTTCTCGGCTACTTTGCTCGGTTAAACAAAAAAAAATGACGTTTGAGATTTTACAATGACACATGGAAACACAAAAAAGGATGATGTAGGGTTCCTTGTGGTTTCATATATATGATTTGTTTTCGTTTTCGTTATCACTCAGTATCTACAGTTTCAATGTATGACTTGAATATGTTTTCCAGCGATAATAGACATGTTCGTTTGCATGATACTGGAGACTACATGTGTGATATACAATCAAACAATGTCCCTTTACATGACACATATTCTTGCAGCCAAACGCTACAGTTAGCATCTCAAAATTTTAACCTCTATAATACAATCAACGTTGCAATTTAGAAATGATGCGACCAGACGTTGCGGTTATCAAACAAACAACAATCGCAAGTGTATGGTCGCACGTTTGCAGCTGCAGTGGCAAGGAAACTAACAAGACCATTAATATTGATCAAAAATAATATATACATTATCGTGACATTCTTTAGCTAATTCTTGATGTTTATTTAATTTTTATTTTGTTGATCAGAGTATCACAAGCAGTTTCAATTTGAAGAGGCGAACAATTGTGGTTAATGATGATAAAAAATTGTTATTCTAGTTTTCTTCTTCTACTTACTAGTTATAATAAGATTAATTTTACAATTTATATGACTTGGATTCTGTTTTTTAATTTTTTATGTTCGTGTATTTATATTTATTTTAACTTTTTCATAATTTTGCTTTTTTATATATATTCCAAAATTTTTAAAAAATTTGAAAACTAACCCTTGTTTTGAAAATTTTGAGAAATAACTTTTTTGTTAAATAAAAAGACAAAATATCCTGATTAATTTTTTAACATTTAAAATGAAAGAAAATTATTTTCGAAATTAATTTTAGTTTATTTATTTAAGATATGTTTTTATAACAACAAAAGAAAAAATATATATTTTGATATTATTTTATATTTAGATATAGACATATTGAATAGATATATAAATCTATTATTTATAAAAGAGAGAAAGATATACGTATTATAAAAACTTAACTTTGTCATCATCCAACTCATTCTATATATACGGATCACCACCGTACCTACATATATGAAAAAGAAATACACTTTGCTATACATTACTTAGCTTTTGATTCGGTTAGTTCACCACTTTTTTTTTGTCGTAGTTCATCACAATTTAATTAAAAGTAGGTTGTAATTCACTAGTTTTGATTGATTATGTAAGTTTGATATAGTTTTAACAATATTATAATATCATTGTCAAGAACGATGCGATATTTATTTTTGCCTTTTCTTATTAAAAAAAATAAGAAGATGGATTTTGATTTGGATATTTTTGTAATTTTAAGTATGAAAAAATTATTTTTCAAAGATTTCGAAAAAGGGGTTAGTTTTCAAAACAAAAACAAATTTTAAGATTATTTTTACAAAATTCCTCT